AACAGCTGATATCGGCGTTGAGTAATAACTGAACCAGGTGTGCACCCCGTCCCATACCTATACCAATCCGCAGTAACAAACATTGCAGACTACGGTTACAAATGTCCACGACTGACACGCCGAGGAGAGGCCTTCATCCAGCATGGATCGACAACGGTCTGCACTTTATTATAATTCTTTACTCAAGGTACGGTTTTAAAATAGTACCGCCAAAAAAACCCAAGAAAATGACGTCAATAAATAACAGGCAAAGCAAATGAGACAAGCGAGGCACAAGCCAATCCAATAAGTAAAGCTCTTCAGACAAATTAATCCGATATAATCACAGGCGGTGGGCTAAAACATCTGTTCGTGCATAGAGCAGCTGGCGTCTATACGTTAATTACGCCAACATAAGTTCAAGCAGGCATACACACGCTGTTAGATTAAGGCCTCGCGTTACATGGCTTTGGCTTTGTACATTTTATACGAATTTTTTTTTGCGTCAGTATTATAACATTGATAGGACAGTATCATGTTGCGGGGGTGTGTTTTAAGTTTTGCTTGAAATAAATTCAGATGCCGTTCTTAAAAGAATGAAAAAATAAATATCATTAACAGTGCCTACGACTGTGATACAGAAAGGATAAATGATTTAGGTTCCCTTCAGAACTGATGGGGCAGCAAGATCCGTTGAATCACAGACGAGGATGCACTCTTTACGACGTAGGATCCTGAGAAAATTGGGAAAGTGTAAGTTGTTGACAAATCGCCAGTTCTGAACCGACGTGAGATCAATTTCAGTCGGGGAGACATTAAAAGTATTGAACAAACAAACCCTTCGAAAATCCAAATTGCAGTATGTGTAAACTGAATTGAGTTGAGAGCATGACTTATCATTTTTGAATAGAAAATTGCACCTTGGCAAAAGTGGTTACCAGCTCACTTCTCATTGTGATGTCGCGTGGGCTGCTTGCTGGATGAAGTCATGCCTATTTGCAGAGCTTTCGTACTATACATGAATATGTGTGCAATCAAAACAATTGGCTTTACTCCAATCAACTAAAATCAACCGTCTGTCTGGGGTCAGGGGTCGGCAACCCGCATCACCAGGAGGGTCTCTGAAGAAGCCGCATGCGGTGGCTCTTTAAGGACTGCTTCGTGATGTTATTTATTGAAGGCCACCGTCTTCGTGTTCACACTGAACTGCGGCTCTTGAAATATTGAGGTTTATTTTTTTTACCGAATTAGACTAAAAAAAAAATTTGGTTTTCTTGTTATTTTGGTTACCGACCCCTGGTCTAGGTTCTCCTAGTGGAGGCCCTTCTGCCAGCGGTGACGTGGGCCATCAATTGCAGAGCTACACCTTTGCCACCATTACCTCTTTCCCTCCTGCTATACTCTCAGCATGTGCATATTACACAATTGTAATAAATTCACTCCTGTGGAAAAACATTTGTTTGCATTCGCTGCTCCGAATATGCACCAGTTTACCTTTTAGAATAAATAATATAAAATAATTATCAGCCATTGGCCAGTCCACTGTTGGATAAAGGTCTCTCTCCATGTCATGGTGCTGTTTGACCATACTTCACCACTCTGGTGAGTGCAGGTTCGCGAGAGTGGGAGAGACGGGACTGGTCCAGATATCACTCGCCCCACTGATGTCAGCTGTGGTTGGGTATCAAACCCAGGTCGCCGAACGTGTCGTGGTGAAGTGCATATCATAAACTTGTGTCCCGTTCAATTCAAGTGACCCTATTTGATGTCTTTTTAACTTCTCTCGGCATTGCTTGCACGCAGTTTTATTTTAAAACTCCTTTGAGTCATATAATCAGGCTGCTTTTTGCCATACATTATTTATTTTCATGCCCAATTGGCTCGTCAGGCATGCGTAATATTTTTTTTTACTTCTAATGACATTTTTGGCTCGGCATTACAGGCCATTATGTCATCCGTTTTATAAGCTTGCACAAACCGAGAGAAGCACATGATCGAGCCCGTGTATGTACAGCGGCGTATTCGCATTGTAGCACGCATATCTATGTTGATAATTGCACTAACCCAGTTTTTAATCCTGCCTAGCGCTTTATTCCATAAACACAGGGCAGCTCTATTTCTCCGCTCTGAAATCTGTTCACGGTCCGCTATCCCAATGCAGAGACCTATCTCGTTTTCAAAGCAAGCGATAGTTCAGCACTCTGATTCACTCCATTCACTCACTCACTTGACGGCCAGTCGCCTCGTTATCACTCTTATATCGCTATCACCATGGTAACTCTTCCCCAGGACTTCACTCCCCGATGCCGCCACTCATTTCGAGGCCTCTGTCCATGAGACGGACTGTTCCATCTCACCCGTGCCGTGTTCCCCCACCGTACCGCAGGTTGCAACAACAAACAAAGACAAAGATCCCCCGTATAGCCTTAACAGACTGTAGGGGCAAGTGCTGTTAGCGAGCACCTATGAAGGCTGGAATGGCACACGAGGGGGTGGGTGGCCAGTACCACGCCCGACCGCCTTTGTCTCCCTAGCGGCGATGTTTACACACCGTACCAGGTACTCATTTAAAGCTGAGTCGACCTAGGGGAGGCCCAGGACCGGTTCAGATAATCGTCACTGGTGTTAGCCGTGAGCGGGAATCGAACCCGGGTCGCCAGGTTCGTAGTGCAGCGCGCTAACCGCTACACCACCGCTCCCCACAACAACACTCACTCATTCACATCACTTGCACACTCAACCACCCGTTCACCTTACCGGCAGGTCAAAACGCCTCTCTGTCTTTCCTCGCACTGCTCCGCTTAGGAATTCCCTCCCATCCTCTCTTTTCCCTTCTCTTGTTACCATGCCCAATTGAATAAACGTATCAACTTGTATCTAGTACAACTATGGTTGCGGACTGCTTGGTGTTTTGGGCCTGTAACTGTGATTTAAGATGAAAGTACATGTGCCTTTAGGTTTAACTCGGTTGCCTGTAAAAAAAGAAATCACTAATCTATTTTAAGATTGAAACATACAAGAGGATTCTCCACAACTCGGGCTGATGATGCTGGTTGTTGTTGTTGTGATTACCGGTGAAACGTTACGGTACTCGAATCACAAATGTTGTGGGTTTACTCTCCAACACACAACCGGTGTGCTGGCCTAGTAAGGAATTGTCACGTTTTGTTTACTTGACAAACTTTACTAATTGGCTGTGTCGGGTGGTGGCTGGTTTTTAACGACACATTTATATTGACGCGATCTCACCCACAAAAAAACCTCTTGCGGATGATATTGGTCGTGAAAGCCGACGTGTTAAACTAATCTATTTTACTGGACAAACATTTTTTAATATCATCAATCACACATTACTTACACATATGGCATCATCTTGTTGCCAGCCTGTTTATACAGCCATGGTTAATCTGCAGATTTAGCTTCACTTTCACAACGTATTCCCAAATCTGAAAGAAAAAAAAACTGAACTTTTTTTTTTCACCCCATAAGATTATCGTGGTGAAATGTTTTGATTGTGTCATTTTTTGTTATTTCACCAAGGTCAAAGGTGGATTGCATTACATAGCCCATCATTCGTTCTATAGGCCCCCCTGGTTCCTTCAAGGCAGCATCAGTTCTTATTCGACTGAACGTGCCAACTATGACTTGAGTAACACGTCGCTGTAAAGGATATTGGATAATGATGGTCAACAATAATGATGGGACTGGTGGCCAAGCAAAGCACAGTGGCCGATAGTCCAACCACCGATGAGATAGGAATGATGAAATCAGCCCCTGTGCAGGTACCGGGTGACATCACATCCGCCGCGTCGTGAGAGAGAGATGGCGACGACTTTGGGAGGCCTTGAACCAGCAGTGGATTGAACAAGGCCGATGATTACGGTGATGGAACTGACACAAGCTGTTGCTACTTTGGCACGGACCAAACTACATCACCGCTCTTGCGGTGGCGAGTGCGGGTGACCCTGTGTGTGCAAGGCGCGCGTGTGTGCAAACGAGTATATTATATCCACAATACTCAGCTTTGTGTTAGATTGCGTAAATATAATCGCGTCTTTAAACCCGCCACCAATCAATTCTAGCTGTCACCTGATGATGCTAGTTGTAATTACTGGCGAAACGTCGTCCTCGACTTGTAAATGTTGTAAATGTTGTGGGTTTACTCTCCAACACACCGGTGTGCTGTACTAGTAACGAATTTACACGTTTTGTTTACAAGACAATCCTTACTAATTGGCTGTGTCGGATGGTAGCGGGTTTAACGACGTGAGCATATTTACGCAATCTAACCAAAAAAACCTCTACTTTGGATAATATTGGCCGCGGAAGCCTACGTGTTAAACTGAGTATATTGTAATATACTAAAGTACGCCTAAACACTTTACTTGCAATGCCACGGTGCAAAAATGTGGAAACATTTTCTTTGTGCTGTGATGTCCCGCTCGTGTTGCCACAACACGAGCGTGCCCGGCAGTGAGCGAGTGTGCGTGTGAAGCGTGTGTACACTTGGAAATGGCAAAATATACGGCAATAGCAAATATGCATGGCTCAACCGCTTGTATTATGGCACCTGTTTAATTTGGCCTTTTGGCTTTTTAGCTGGTACCTACTTAGCTGTGGCCTTCACCATTTATTAATGATGCCTATTATTCAACTCGTATTTAATTATTTTGCTTTACTTCAAGGCCATTACAGTAGTTCAAGGTGCATTTAATTACGAACGCCACTTTATAGAGATATATTATGTACTTGAGGGTGCAGCCGGTGTTGTTGTTGTCATTAGCTGCTGTGACACTGTGCTATAAACCCAGATAAATGTGTTTGATCCCAGCCACGGTGAATACGAGCGGGCGAGCATTATCTGACCCGGTCCATTTTTATCGCTGGTTGGACAGAAGCTGGTGTGGGGGGGGGGGGGGGGTGTGGGATTAAAACAAGCCTGCCCATTGTCCCTACTGCACACGATACAGAAGGAGACATTAAAGAGCAAACATTTCCCCGCCACCGGCACAGAAACTCACCGAGGGCAGGGAGGTTCTGGAGAGCTGGCTGCCTCCGCTGGACGGCGTGATCGTGATGCTGCTGGTCACTTTGCTGCTGGCAGCGGCGGACAGTGACCCTTTGGCCATGCCGTGACCTCCGGGCCTGCGCAGGATGGTTCCCGTGGCGATCATCTCCTTCTTTTCCGTCGCCACGAGCGTGATGGCCGCACCGGAGGGCCCGCCGGGGTGGCCGCCCTCGGCCGGCGAGCCGTGCTGCCGCCGGTACGGGGATCCCAGGTGGATGTGGATCTTGTTGTCCTCGGTGGTTATGATGGAGCTGCCCGAGCCGAGGGCTTTGAACGATGGCGTCCGCGTAGCCGTGGGCTTCTCCGGAGACACGCGGAAGATGGTGGGCTTCCCCGCCACGATTTCCACGGGCTCCGGCGAGAGAAGGTGGTCTGCGGTCGCCGACATGGCCACGATCTGGATGGGGGAGGACGGCCGCTCGGGCGAGGACGAGCCGGAGCTGTCCGGCGACCTGTTGCGCGCGATGGTCGCGATCACCACGGGCGACGCTCGCTCCGGCGCCGCCAGCACCGTTGCCTTGTCCACGCTGTGCCTTTGGCCGCCCCTCGATGAGATTATTGCAGAATTGGGCAGGATGGTGATCCTTGGTTTCTGCAAGCCGGACGTCGGGATGGTGGCAGTAGTGGTGTAGGAGATGTCCTCCGTGCTGGGACTCGTTATTTCCAGCATGGCCGTGTTGTGCTGGTGGTCGGGCCGGACGCGGATGTGGAGGGGCTGACCCTGTTTGTGGGACAGCACCATCTCCCCGTGCTGCGGCACGTGGCCATTCATCTGTGGCTTGTTCTCGCCGTTTTGCTGAATAAGTTCCCTCTTCTTTATCCACGGAATGAAGGACTTGCGCTGATTCATGTCGCTTGAAGTCGAGGTGAAACGCCCGTGCAGCGATGGGCAGTCGCCGAAGCTCTTCCTCTCCTGGCGAAGATTGCTCATGATGTGGTTTTCCTCCTGCATCGTTTTCTGAATGAACGAGGACACGTTATCCTCCTCGCCGTTCATCGTGTCCATCAAGCTGGCGTCCGTCTGCACGGCGGCTGTCGCCACTGGGACGTCGATAAGCTTCCTGCCGTTTAAGCTCGGTCGCAGCGCGCGCCCGTACCGCTTGAATCGGTCGAGTTCTTTGGTCAGGCTCTCGACCTCAGCAGCGAAATCGTGGTTCCTGCTCTCCTCCTGCATGAGCCTCTTCTGCACGGCCGCAAAGTCATCCTGAAACTGCGCCAAGTGATCCTCCGCCGCCATGAGCTCGTGCAGCTTCTCCTTCAGCGCCTGCACCTCGCTGGCCAGGTGGCTGGACTTGGTCTCCTCCTGGCGTAGCCTCGCCCTGAATTCGTGCTCCTCGGCACTGCTCAGGTCGCCTCTCTCGGCGGCCTTCCCCCGCGCGATCTGCGTCTTCGCCTCCTCCAGCTGCTGGAACAGGAGCTGCGCTTTGTCCTGCTCGCTCCGGTAGCGCCGTTTCAGCTCGTCGTACTCATCCTCCGTTTTCATGAGGTCATCCTCCACCACCTCGAGCTGCTTCAAGCGGGCCTTGAGCCTGTCAATCTCCTGCGTCAGCTCCATCACCTTGTTGCTGTCGTCGTCCGCGCACCTCGCTAATCTGGCATTGAAGAGCAAAGGCTTCATCCCCACGCGATCGTTCCCATCGTCATCCATGTCCGCTAACCTGTCCTTCAGCTTGCTCATCCTGGACGTGAGCTCACTCGCTCGAGACTCCTCCACCTTCAGCTTGCTTTTGAGCTCATCGCGTTCTTTGGATAAAAGTGAATTTTTCTCCTCCAGCTCCGCTTTCATCTTCAGAGACTTTTTACTCTCGTCGATGAGCTTCTCTGTGACCTCGTTCACTTTGCTCTGCTCGTCCTTCATCCGCCTGGTGACCTCCTGGAGCTTCTGCTCCTCCTGCTTCAGCCTCTCGGCCGTGGTCTTCCTTTCATCGGCCAGCACGATGGCGAACGACTTCAGCTTGGCCAGGTCGTCGCGCATGGCCTGCTCCGTCTTGCTCAGCCTGCCCTCCATGGCCTCCAGCTCCCTCATGCGGCACTTGAGGGCCTCCAGCTGCCCGCCGAGCTCCTTCGAGAGCTTCTGCTCCTTTTCCAGTTCGCACCGCAGCTGCTCGCACTCCACCCTGTTGCGGCCGAGGGCCTCCTCGCCCTTCTCCATCTCCACCACCCGCTGCCGCAGCTGCCCCACCTCGCCCTTCAGCTCCGCGCCGCGGCGCTCCTCCTCCTGCAGCCGCTCGCGCAGCTCCTTGGAGTGCGCCTCGGCGCGCTGGATCTCCTCGTCCTTGCCCTCCATCTCCAGGAGCCGCTTGCGCAGCGTCTCCAGCTCGGCCGCCATCCCGTCCTGGTTGCCCTGCGCTTGCCGCAGCTCGTTGATCTCGGCCTCGGCGCGCTTGAGCTCCTCCTCGGCCCTCTGCAGGCCCCGGTTGGCCTCCTCCAGCTCCTCCACGCGCTGCGCCAACCCCGCCATCCTCTGCCTCAGCTGCCGCCCGTGGGCCTCCTCGTTGGCAAGCTTGGCCGTCATCTCCTCGTGCTCCTGAAAACAGTGAGAGTTGTGGGGGGGTTGTCGCGAGATTTCGACGTGCGATAAAGTCTTTTTGCTGCCATCGCTGCTTCTGCTGTCGGTGACTGTGCTGAGCGACCGTTTGCAAGCGAGGATTATTTGCAGGTCAAAACAACTTTGGAATTATCCCCTATCGTCTCTTTTCCAAAGCACTTACAACCAACCTTTCTCACGTCAAGAAACGCATTAACTCTATTATCTCTTGCACCATCATCATCATTATTGGTTGTGTTCATCGCATACCTGTCAACCTGTTATCAGTGCCTTCCTTATTACAGCCCAATTCAGACCTTATTGCCCTTATAAATCTCAACGTTCACCCTACAAAGTCACATCACAAGGGAGAAACACAAACAAATAGACAATTATTATGTTTTGCCCTTATCGAAACGTCTGTACATCTGTACGCTGTATGGACCTGAAAACTCAATTTCCCTGTGCAAGAATATACGGGTTGACAGCGGTGTCATCGTGGGCCCCTTCGCATTTTTTGGTCCTTTGCTCAACGGCCGTGACATTATCAGCAGTCGCTGATATGAACAAAGCCCGTTGGTGGCAACCGGACCTGGTAGAAGCGCGTGGTCTGCTCCTCCAACTCGGCCTCCAGGCGCTGCGCACGTCCGCTTTCCTCCTGCTGCGTGCGCGCCGCCTCGTGCACGCGGCTTCGCGCTTGCGCCAGCTCCAGGGACAGGTCCCGCACCTCTTGCTCCCTCTGGCGGAGCTCCTCGTTGGAGCTCTGCGCTCGCGCACCGCGGATTGAAACGGAAACAGCGGCGGCGCGTCAGCGAATGATGCGATCGGTCGGAAGACGCCAAGCCCTGCGAGCGCACGTGAAGTCCACGTGCGCGTGGGTATGGAGGGCCTCCTAGCCTTCCAAGAGTACACGATGACGTGAACTTACAGGTGCACATGAAGACCAGGCACTTCATGGTATGGAAGAACTATAAATACGTGATATGACTCCTTTTTTCTACATTCATCGGAATAACACTTGCATTTTTTGGCAATTGGCATGCTAAACATGTGGCACCAAGGCGACCATCTGGTACCCTGTGACCTCTTGGTTAAATATAAAGTTCCTTCTAACTTTCAATGGACTTAATTGCTCATTGTTGAAACGGCCAAGTGTCAGGAAAGGTCCGATCATCCGTATGCTCCCCTACCGATGCTTTCTACAACTGAGTTACAGTATGCTCAGCAGGCTTTGGGCCTGGTTAGCGCTTGGATGAAGGAGACTGCCTGGGAACACCAGTTGGTATAAGCTCTGGTTCCAACATGGCCAGGAGATGGCAGTATGATGGCAGTACATCAATGGATTATTTCATGTAGTGGTGTGGCTCTTTCAGTGTTACCAGGATACTCTGGTTTCCTAGGCGGGGTTGAGCCCGGTAGCTTGGATGGGCGACCACCATTTGTAGGTTGGTATAGGATGCCGTGCGGCTCCGTTGTGGCCAGCAGAAATCAATTGTTGTACTGTGCTGTACTCCCACGTGTATGCTCCCCCCCCACCTTCATGAACCCGTTCTGGCCAGTGTGGTGAAGTTTGCTCAAATCAACGCGGATGATGGGGGCCCTCATCCTGCAATATCCTGACAAGAGGGCCATACGTGTACGTGATTTTGAGAAAATGGAAGTGTAACGATCCGGTGTGTTTTGGGTCCTACTGCGTGTTGATCGGCATGATATCCTGAGGAAGCTCTGAGCGCGTGGAGCGAGCAACTTGCTGCACAAACCACAAAAATCATCGGAGAGCTACAGCTGCCTTCGTCTCAAAATCAAATACACGCACGGCCCTTTTCGTCAAACCTGTTATTGGCAGAGGGGCTCCCCCACAGTACACCGGTCGCGGGGGTTTATTTTATTTGAGCGTGTGCGCATCGCACGAGGTGGTCAGTGCCGGCGTTGGCGAGCGTGGGGGAAGAGCATAGTCGCGGGAGCATAGTACGCCACCGCGATGGGATTTTGCTGCCACGACCCGCGAAACATACGTGGGCGCGAACGACTGCCGGGCCGGGCGTTGGGCGAGCGCCGTGCTACCTGCTGCTCGTCGGCGAGGAGCAGGGCGAGGGCGCGCAGCTTGGACGCGTCTTCGCCGAGCCTCTTGGCGCTGGCCGCGTGCTCCGCCTCCTTGCGCTGCTGGTACGAGCGCTCCTGCTCCAGCACTCGCTTCAGCCTGCTCGTTCGGCACGCGGGACGGGAAGGGATCGTCGCAGCAGCAGCAGCAGCAGAGAGAGCCACCGTTAATTCGACGGCGGCAACGAAACATTGCGGGCGCGTCGCCCCGGGGATTTACGACGGCCCGCATTCACGACGTTTATATGCATGACCCCCACTGTGGATCAATTTACGAAGCAGGAACTTGACTTACGACGGCATCTTCCGACACGACCCCGAACACGTTTGATTGGAGTCGGTCTGGTTTCCGGTGTGACTTGGCGTGGAGCTTTTGTTCTTCCTTTTATCGGCCATATTAAACCCTGGTAAATGTGGCCGATAAAAGGAAAAATAAAACACATCAGCAGGTGATGTTTACTTCTGTTTCTACTGGCGATGGGAAAATAGGGTCCAATTTACGAAGGAGTTTCTAGTAAAGGATTTTTTTTCTTTCTCCAGGTAAGGCCCACTGAGCTACATACCATAGCTCTTTTTCAGAAGCAACCTGCCAATGTGGAGGGAAAAACTGGAGGACCCGGATAAAAATCCACGCGTAATGTCTTAAAAGTGGGGGACCGCCTGTATTGGTTTAGATCGCGATCTCGAATCACGACAGTTCGTCAAATCGCCGAGCAGGGCCGTACCCGCTTGATCCGCACCTTCAATGAGCCACGGTTGGCTTACGTACGGTGCGAAAGAAGTTCGTCATGTGTACGTACGTACTGCTCAGTGGAAACGGTTGTGGGGGGGAGGAGTGCGTGGTTCTGCTGCGTGAGCATCCATCGGCGGCGTGTGGGCCGTGGGGTGGGGGCAACTAGAGTGCACTTAATTCTAGATTTGAAGCTTTCCTGACTGCAAGTATTCATATTCTTAGGTTTTCAGTAAAGTCACGTAGGTAAAAAATTAAAATTAATAAAAGTTAAATAAAATAAAAATCACGATGTTTCGGAGGCAACACACGCTTGTGTTGCCTCCGAAACCTTAGAATATAGAGTGCACTTTTCACCATTTGCTTGATCAGAATCAGAATCTAAATTTATCGTGGAGGAAGCCGATGAGCGATGGAGCTCTTTTTCAGAGGTGTCCAGGCAGGAGGGGGGGCGGGCGGTCGGTCGGGTCAGCAAAGTTATAACAGCAATTAATACAATCAACAACAGCAACCAATACGAGTGGAAAATAAAGGGGTGGTGTCAGCAAGTCACGAAAAAAAGTCAAGTGTAAAAATTACAAATTGCAATGAGGCTACCGGGAGAAATGTACAACGTCTGTATCTCGTTAAGTGCAATTCACTTTTATCTCCACGCTACTTTTGCTGCAGGCACTACAGCCTCGTCTCTTACTGCTTCAAGATGCGTGTTGGTTTTTTGCTGTAACCAGGTTTCTACGGTGTAACCAGGTCCCCCATCGAAAACGAGCATTTATTGCCCATTGGGTTTTACCTCCGACAAAATTCAACATAAAACCTGAAGCCTAAAATGGAGGGGGATCACTCGCCGGTGAAGTTAACCGTGGCCAGGAATTGAACTCGGGTTGCCATGCTCGTAGTGCAGTCGCTAACGACAGATGGTACCTCTAGGGTCAATAGTTCTTTGATTCAAAACGTATTTTAGAGTTTGCTGTTTTCTGTTGACAATCTAGACTCGCAGCAGCCTGTAATACCTCATGGTGGTCACCCATCCAAGAACACTGCAGCAGGCTCAACATTTGCTTAGCTTTCCAGATTTGATGAGGTTGGGCACATTCTGGGTGATTTGGTCAGAGGTGAGTTCCAATTGAGATCAGTTTATTTTGACTCAGAACACGTAAATTGAATGAGTTTATATTTTCGTCTCCTGTTATGAATTACATGATTTTTTTTCTGGAAGGACATATACTACTTTTTCCATCCTATCATTGTTCCCAAGTGACTTTATCTGAATAAATGCCTTTTATTTTGAAATGTACAAAATAAATTTGAGTACCATACATTTAAATTTGAATAATAATATAAATTGGAAATGCGGTGAGTAGCCCACCATCGCATTCACCTTCTTGAACTTGATATATTTCAGACATTATACTTCACGGGAATAATGCCCTGACAGATTTAACAAATGGCCACACAATCGCTGGCCCACCCAAGCTGACGCAGCGGTGAGCACAGCTGACCAATGGACTAGCCAGATCTACCAACAGCACAAATCCGTGGGGAGTTTTTTTGTTGAGTGGCCTTGCGATCATTCACCGTCGGGGGGTTTGTAGCAGGCAGACCGTTGGCACGCAACCCGGCACGCAACCCGGCACGTTACGCACGCGCGCGGTCGGTCAACATTCGTCCAAGGAAGCAAAGGGAGGGGAAGAATATGTAAAATAATAAAATAATCGTAAGGAAATTTGTTCTTGTGCGAGTGCCGCTGATGAGTGTGTGTGTGTGTGGGGAGGGCGTACTTATTGTGTCACGGAGGTTTATAGGGCAGTTGTGGTTGGCGGGGGGTGGGCGGGTGGAAATCTCCCATCTGGTTTTTAGTTTTGGCTAATTTGAAGCCTCACGGCAAAAATTAACAAAAGCGTAGCGCGTCCGTTCAGGCTTTGCACGGGTATCTTGCCTTTCCGTGACTAAGGTGTTGAGAACACTATTATTCTGTAATTGCCTAAGACGCAACCGGAATAATTCTGCAAACCTCCCTCCCAAGCGCCCGAGACAAAAGAAATACTGTTCTGTGCGAGTCGCAGAGAGCCGGGCACGCAACACATGTCATTCGCAAAACACAGTGCGTACATACACGCGGAGCGCACACCGTATCAAGGAAGCACGCTCGCCTCTGTCCTTGTGGAATTTGTAAAATTCGTGACCGTGGTGATCGTGGCGACCGATCGCAGACGGTGGTGTCACCGCATCGCGCGGCGCTTTCAGATGCGCTGCTTCTGCAGCCGTCCTGGAACGCTCTTCCCGATATTATGAAACCGCTGGAGCTCTGAACTTTAAAATCTAGATTGAAAACGAATTTCTTTAGAACAGTTTTTTTGTGTTTAGTTTTCCTTGCCGCGCGCCTCCGATTAGCATAGTTGGCTACGTACGGTGTGAAAGAAGTTCAACATACAGTACAAAAATGAAGTGACATCAACTTAATGGAATGCAGCGATGTGTGCACAATGTGTACGGTGCGCGTTTTTTTTCCTTTTCTCATTATCTGTATTGCTTCCCATCGTTGCATTTGGCCGCTGGTCACACTCATAATCTCAATATTTTTTATTTATCCTGGAGGGAATCCGATGAGCTACAAAGCTCTATCCCACCCCCCCTCCCCCCCCCCCCCGCAGACGTCCGGTCGTGGTTTTTTGTTCACTCGGCTCCGAGGTCCCCCCTTGAGTCGAAGCCTCGCGGAGTCGACGTCGAGGTCGGTGCCAGACCCCGGCGAGTGCCGCTCGTCAGCTTTGAACAATCAAAGTCGTCGTTCCCTTCGCCGGTGCATAATGACGCGATTGAGGGCTTTGAAGCTAATCAAAACCGTTTGGCTTCTAACTGCGCAGGAAAACTGCGACATTCCGGGTTACCGCGTCACGATTTGGCGACGGCACGTCGCTTGCCTTGGGGATGATTAAGTCCATTGTTTTAGCGCTCACCCCCATCTGTGCTCTAGTCCGCTCACCACCATGTACCAGCAGCAGCAGCAGCGGCGTAAATCCTTCGTCTTCCTACTCATTCCTTTATCTTTCTTAGTTTGTGTCGATGGAAAAGCAGGACCGTCAAGTACACTTTCTCACCACCGCCAATGTTGTCGATTAACGTTGCCGCTTGACGCTTGACGAGCGTGTTTGTTCCAAACTACGGCTCTGCTTACACACCGAGTCGACGATGGCAGGCACAAGGAGATCCCTGCACCGTCTGCTTTCAGTTTAATTTTGTAATTTGTTTTTCAAGGCGCGGGAGCAGCCGAGCGTCGCGGCTGCTCAAAGGGGAGTGCGAGTGCGGTACGCGAGAGGCGCAACGCAAGAACATTTGGAGGGCAACGCTGTAAAATAACTCCCCCACCAACCCCACCTCCTCCCCACTAACCCCGCGTAGTAACTTGAACGGATCCGAAACGTAAGTCTTGTCGGATTCTGAAATTCCTCAAGGAGTGGAGGAGACGGGGATGGAGGGGAAGAAGGGAGAGAGAGAGTGAATTGTTTTCCCTTTTGTGCCATGGGCTACAGGATCACGTGAAGAGAGTCCCACGTGGTGCTGCTGGCTTGCCTGAGAGACAGACCTACTAGAGACACCTAGCAGGGACAGACCTGCCAGAGACAGCAGGCACTTGAAGTCGCATTGAGATGGGGTGGGGAGAGTGAGTTGGTGGGGGGGGGGGGGGTTGGAGGGGGGGGCAGGAGAGTAAGAGCAGAAAATGCCTGGCCCATGATCTCATCTGTGGCACCAGCCCAGCAAGCAGGGGGTAGAGCGCGGGGTGCAGGGTTGGTGGTGGGATGGGGGGTTGCGGCTAGTTGGGGTACGTTAGGAGTGGGGTGCGGGGGGGGGGCTTGCTGAAGGGGGGGAGGGGGGTAGAGAGATGAAGGACTGGCGAGGAGGCGAGGAGGTGGGAGAGGATTGTGGGAGATGGACGTGAGCTCGTTCGCTTCGCGGTCCTGGAAGGGGAAAGGGTGGCTCGCTGTGGACGTGACGAATGTTGCCGATAATGAGAAATGAGTTTTAAGGTTTGTTGAAGAGGAACGAGTGGGAAATTGAATTAGAGGGAAGGGGAGGGAGGGGAAAAAAGTGTGTTCGAGAACAAAAAAATGCGGTTTAAATGTAATTTGAAACAAATGATGGTGGAGGGTTCTTATCGTTTTCAAAGGTGCCCCGTGCACTTGGGAGTCTTTTCGCCCTCTCTAACTTTGCCTCTTGAATACATACGATAGCGGGCTAAGGGCATCCAACAGGGCAGGGGGGGAACGTGTTGGCTGCTAGACGCACAGCGCTGCCCATTGAAGGGACCACACTGGGAAGTGACTCGCCTGAGATCGTCGCACGCGGTGCGCGATTCTCATCGCACACTCGAGCTT